CAGTAACAATATTTCCTAACCTACGCCACCCCTCCTCACCCCTCCCTTATTCCTCCTCCAACTCCAACCGGTACTTTGTTTTGAGTCTTCCTGACTTTTTATTCAGAAGGAAGTAGAGATCTGGTGTCTCACTGTTAAATCATTGCTGAGAGAGTGCCTAGGAACAAGAGGAGTGATGAACACAATCCACAGGGTTTATCCCCGAAGTTGTTTTCAGGGCATAGGTGCCACATCCAGATTTCCAGATGCACTCTACACACTATAGAAGGGGTCGGGGTTGAAGCTGCTTATCTTTCCATATTCCCTCTTCACTCCTCCTCCCCTGCTCACTCAGCTTAGTTAAGCCTTGTATTTAGACCTTCCTGTCTGCAGAGATTGGTAGAAGGTAAAACATATCTCCCTCCTCTCTCTCCTTCCAGTATTTTGCTCTTTGCAAAAATGATCTGTCCTGTTTGGTGAGGGCCACGTTCCTCTCACTGCCATGAAGCTGCTGCTGTCTATTACCTAGATGTACATACCTTAGATTCATGTTTGTTTTCTCTGTTTTCCTTCCTCTTCCTCCACATTGATTATTAGAGCATGAGTAGATCAAGAAAATTAGATGAGACTTTGACATTATGGTCTTTCCTAATTGGAACCTTGGGAGACTTGCAGGAGGGGAAAGAGAATCAATGATCAGCTATTTGTGTTTTCAATACTGTTCTCTTTTCCCACCTCTCTCCTGGGTGGAGCCAGAGAGAAATGATCTGGAGTACAGCTAAAGCTTTCACCTTTGGGAAAAATTATTGTAGGTCTCTCTAAGATATATTTCTTCTTTGTTTCTCTAGTCTCCTTTATACTATATTATAGCTCAGCGCACTTTCTAAACTGAGATTGGGAAGTTTAATGTTCCTATAGTTAGTCTTTCCATTTAACGATGATACAATTTGCTTTCAGAAATAGGTTAGGAAACAGGCCACAGTTTGCTCTTTTGGATCAGATAGGGACAAGATCAAAGTCAGCTTACTTGCTTTTGAAATCATCTTGGTGACCAGGACACACGGGATCAGAGGTAAGGAATCTAACAACAATTGTATTAGTGCTTGAAAGGGACTTCCTTGAATTCTCCAAGCCCCTTCTTAATATTCCATGAAGCACGTGTAGGGTTGGAGCAGAGGCTCCTACATTAAGCAATGGATGTGTCTATTCAGTTTTTATTGGTATTTATAATCCAGAAATCATAAACCCTCATTGCTCTTGTGCTCATTTCTCTGGAAAGTGTTAAGGGGTGAGTTGTGGGAAGAATTTGTCCTTGCAGCTCCTGGATTTATTGTTTTTCTCAAATACCAACTACTAAGATCCCAAAGAACTTGAGAAAAATCGTTCCCTATCTGTAAACTTTTGGTGTTAAAGATTTCACTTACCTTTTTAGTACTTTCTATGTATTTTATATGTATAATTTTATACAATTAAAAATAGATTTTTGTCTAGTGAGCCAGATTGACTCTTTCTTGAGACCTATGTATCAGAGAAGCTTGAAAATGACCCTTTCTTTTACACATATACTAAAAAAAGAATTTTTATTAATATTTTTTGGGCGGTAGAAATAAGATTGTACTGCTGGGGGAGGGCATTGTGTCTCCCTTTCTCGGGACATTTGAGGACACTGGATTTTGTCCTTAGTCTTTTCTGCTCAAGCTCTACCCATTTCCATTGGCAATCTCACCCATTCTGGTGGTCTAAACTCTTATCATACACATGAGTCTCAAAACTATTTCTTCTACCCCAACCTATGTTGAGCCTTTACATCTATATTTCCACATATTGAACATCCCCACCTGAATGTAACAGAAGCTCTTTGATGTCCATCTGTCACATGTCCAAAATAAAACCTGTTTCTCCATGTGTTTCTCTTTGAATCCCCAGATCTGTTATTGGAATTGTTATCTACCCAGTTATCTAAGCTCGAACCTCAGATCCATCCTCACGTTTTACCTACCATCATCTCATTCGCCACTTACTGTCAAGTTTACCTCCTATATAAACATCCAAATCTGTTTTGTCTGTTTATTGCCTTAGTTCAGTCATTTATCATCTCTGGGCAGGACCACTGCACTAACTTCCTAACTAGTCTCTGCCTTCATTTTTAACGTCTTCCACTCTATTGTCAGATTTCTAAAATATTTGTGACTGTACCACCCCCTTACATACATCATCACTTAGCTACCCTCAGCTTTACCAGCATTTCCCAAAATTCTATATGTGAGCCCTTGGTATTACCTGTGATGATTTGGGGTGGCGGATGGACAAACATTTTTTATTTTTACTAGTTATGCTTTTATCTGAATTTGTAGTGGAAAAACATAGATTTTCCACTTATGGCAGTGTCATTTAAATTTAGTGTAAATTTATTTTAAAAGTCAGTTTAAGTAAAAATATGAATAAAAAATAGTATGGGGGCTATTTGCAAATGTTAAAAATCATGCATACTCAAATACTTGAAGTAGTGAAATTTCTTGCCTACAGGGTAAGTTCCAAAATCTGTAGCATGGCATGCAATTTGGCCCTAAACTGTATTTCCAGCTTTATTTCCTAGTCACGCAGCGTCAGGCATACAGAATTCCTTGCTATTCTACTCTGCATTCATTCAATAAGTATTTAACAAATGTCTACTTTGAGCCAGGCACTGTTCCAAATTTGGGGGATATATTTGTAAATGTGAGTCTCTGACATACGGATTACATTCTGATTGGAAAAACGGGCAGTAAGCAAGTTAGAAAATAAGGTAATTAAAGATTTGGATTTAAGTTCTGTGAAGGAATAAACAGAGTGAAGGACAGGATAGAGAAGACCTCTTTGGGTGACCATAGTATTTTAGGGAGACAGAAGAGATGGGTTTGAACTAGCCATGTGAATTGCTGGAGTAAGAACACGAGAAACAGGAAGTTGCAAAAGTCTGAGATGGGAAACAGTACAACACAGCTGAGGGGAAGTGTAGGGAGAGCTTAATGTATAAGAGGGAAGAATGGTGGTGGAAAAGGTTGGCGACAGAGGGCAAAAATAATTCAAGGAAGGCTTTTTAGTAGGGATGTGACCAACTGATTTCTAAAAAGATCACACTACCTACTGTGGAGAATGGATGCTTTGGTTGTCTCTTAGTCTCAGTACAGTTGCTTTACCTGGAAAACTACCCATCCTTTAAGGCCCAGTTCAAACGGAAGGCCTCCCTTGCATGGACTCGCCTTACACCGTCCTGTTGGACACTCTCTTTGTACTGCCATAATGCTTTGTGATAGCAATGATCACAAATGTAATTATGAAGTGATTGTTGATAACGTAACAATTTTTCCTTGTATTGCCAACACCTCTTCTGAGACAGTCATTCCTGTTTGATTAAAAAATTAATAAATAAGTGAATCCACAATCTACTGTTGTTAAAGGCCTATATCGACATTCCAGAATCTGGGGGCAATATGGGTTTTGCCTCAATCCTAGGTTTTTAAACGTGAAATACTTGCACTATCTTCAAAGAAGCTAAAACCCCCATTTTATTTGAAAGGATGACTTTTTTTTAATTCTCAGAGGTGGTGGGGAGAGTTTGGGAGTTTACCTTTTTAAAAAAAGTTAGTTATCTGTCTCACAAATCGTTATTTCATGACAACCTGGTCTGTTAGTTTAAGAGAAATTTGGTACCTCCCTATGTTCCAGAAGCAGCTTTTTGAGCCAGCATTGCTGACTGAACTACTTTTCAAAAATGCTCGCATCTCAGATCCAGCTGCTTAAATGGATAGGGTACAGGCCTGAAATTCTGAGAAAAAAAACTTTCATTTCTTAGGATGGGGTAAAAACACATGGAAGGCAGGCCTGTACAAAAGAGATTAGGCTAGGCTTCACTGTCAGTAGTATTTCTTGTAGGATGCTCTAGATTGGGATCCCCAACCCCTGGGGAGCAGGTCAGAGGCCTATTAAACAAGGGACCACACAAAAGGTGAGCAGCAGGCTAGCAAGCGAAGCTTCATCTGAATTTGCAGCCACTCCCCAGCACGAACATCACTACCTCGGCTCCACCTCAGATCATCAAGCATTAGCTTTTCATAGGAGCATCCGTCCCTGGTACAAAAAAGGTTGGGGACCGCTATTCTAGATAAAAGGAAGCCACCAATTGCAATTACCCCCAGTCCGTCCTTCACAACGTGGCTGCTTTTAGCTCAAGACCTGGTCAAGATGGCTACAGGAGCACTTCCGGCCCTTCGGGGCTAGGCCCGCCTCCTGTGCGTATTTTTATCGCGCCAGGGGCGGGACTTAGAGTAAGCTCTTCATTGGTCAACTTGACTGGCGACCTTTCCCCTCCGCCCCGTTCCTGAGGTGCTGAGTTCTGAGCGGCGCAGCCTAGCGTTAGAACGAAGGCAAGATGGCGGACGTGCTGGATCTTCATGAGGCTGGGGGCGAGGATTTCGCCATGGATGAGGATGGGGACGGTGAGGACACTGGAGGCGGCTGCGGGAAGCGGGGAAGGTGCGAGAGAAGGGCTTCCTAGGGAAACATAATTTCTCTTCTACCCGGCAGGGAGGATGGGAGCGGGGAACCGGGTTTCGGTTGGACTGGTGACTCCGCCCCCTTCGGGAGGCTTGGGGGCGGGATCCGGAAGGGACCCGGGCTGCAGTTGTTGGGGTCCGCTTTCAGATAAGGTCTTGGTAAAGACTGTTGTTGTAAATGTCTTCTTTTTACTTACACTTTGACTTATGGGGCTCCAGAAAGCATCCACAAACTGAAAGAAAAAGCGAAGAAACGGAAGGGCCGCGGCTTCGGCTCCGGTGAGTGTTTATGGGGAAAATGGGGTCTAGAGTGGCTAGAGTCCACCCAAAGGTTTTGGAGTCCTCATTCAGATTCACGGGGAACAGTGAGAGAAGGGGGTTTTCCGGTGATCTCGTGTATGTTTCCTATAGAAGAGGGGTCTCGAGCGCGGATGCGTGAGGATTATGACAGCGTGGAGCAGGATGGTGATGAACCCGGACCACAACGCTGTAAGTAAATTGGAGCCCGTAGGTATCTGTGTCTGTAGAGAATTAGGGGCCAATAAACTTAAATCCAGTAGGAAAGGGGTCAGAAAAAGCTTAACCAGTCTCGAGTCTGCACTGCATTCTCGTGATCTTGCTTGAAGTTTTTCTCTGTGTGCTCAAACAACCTCCCTTTCTTCCCTAACAGCTGTTGAAGGCTGGATTCTCTTTGTCACTGGAGTCCATGAAGAAGCCACCGAAGAAGACATCCATGACAAATTTGCAGAGTATGGGGAAATAAAAAACATCCACCTCAACCTGGACAGGCGTACAGGATACCTGAAGGTACCCTAAGTTATACCCCATTGCCTCTCTTTCCCCAAAACCCTTAGCATTGGTAGATCTCTCATGTTTGCTGTGGTTGGCCAAGAGCAAAGTTGAAATAAGTTAACATTGGAAATTGATTTTGTTAGACACAGCAGAGACAGACAGAAATAGGCAAACATGTATTTACAGTAGGGATATATGACGTACATTCGTTGTTTAAAGTTTATAGATTTTTCTACTTGAATAGAAGATAGCTTGGTGGAATAGAGTTTTGATATCTGTTTTTTCCTTGCTTTAGGGGTATACGCTAGTTGAGTATGAAACATACAAGGAGGCTCAAGCTGCTATGGAGGGACTCAATGGCCAGGATTTGATGGGTCAGCCAATCAGCGTGGACTGGTGTTTTGTTCGGGGTCCACCCAAGGGCAAGAGGAGGTAAAGTGGAGAGGGCAAACACTGTCTTGGTGAAGGGACTATGAGTGAAAGAGAATAAGGACATTGTATTTTGTCCCTCTGACGGACACCCCCCTGTCTTTCCTTTTCCCTAGAGGTGGCCGAAGACGCAGCAGGAGTCCAGACCGGAGGCGTCGCTGACAGGCCCTCTCTTGTCCAGGCGTTCTCTCCATCGATTCCATTCTATGGACAAGGGTCAGAACAAAAGCAAGATGCAGCCTTGGAGAAACAGAGCTGGGATGGAGCTCACTGTTTATATTTAATATCTTATCCTATTGATTAGTGTTTCTTTTGAGTTATGAATAAATGTCCCATTTTTGTTTTCTACATTTAAAGTTACTTTCCTGTTCTAACATTGCAAATTCTGAAGCATTATTTACAGTAAGGCAGTGTGGGTCGCTATGAAGCTGCTTCTCCCAGTGACTGAATTCTGTGTGCATTTCTATATTAGACATAGTCTCAAGTCTCAAAGGGTCAAAGCAGAGACATGGCTTAGTTTTTCACTTCCTTGAAAGGTAAAAGCCAGGATAGAAGTGAGCTATTCTCATGATGTTAAAGAATAATTTTTCTGGTCCTGTATACTCTGTCCTGAGCAAATGGTTGTTACAGGAATGTTTCTTTGTTTCTCCTGACCTTGCTGCCACTTTTGTTTATACTTTGAGCTGTGTAAGTGTTTGACTCTCCTGTTGGGTAATTCTCCCAGACCCTCCTTTCCTGGAAGAGTCTATATTAAGTGCTTGGTGCCCTCTTTGGCAGCCAAGGGTAATGCCCCATAGAAGGGAGGATCCAAAGGAGCACTGAGGAGACCAAAGAGGAGAAGGATGTGGCTGAGCCTGGGAGAGACTTCTGTTAGCATAGCAGGAGAGAACCAGAGACCCGGCAGGTAATAAGGTCCAGCAGAGGATGAAGGTCAGCAAGACAAGGAAGGGCCAATCTCAGGGCCTGCAGATAAACAGGGGAGAGAGTGTCTGAGGAGCAGCAGAGGGCAAATTCACTGGCAGGGGATGGGAATTTAGGAAATACACAGAAATTAAGAACCACTCAGCTTTTCACCCAAGTTTAGAGTGAATTAATGGATAGGCAGAGATAGCAATACGGAGTTCTCCCCAATATAAAGAAGAGAATGCTGTAGCCCTCTTCCCCTTCCCAGGTTGGGACTATATACTCCCTTTCTCCCAGGGTTTATGACACATGCTGGAGAAAAGGTTTGGTTGAGATGCTATGTTATGTGAAGCTACTAAGTCTACGTTAATCCTTGATGGTGTCCCAAGAACAAAGAAGAATACTGATCACCTTTCTCTTTACTCCTTGCCCAGCTAATTTAAGTTAGAGGATGGCTAGAGGCTGGCGAGAATTGGAGGCTTTCAATAAAATTAATGTGCAGCATCAAGTACTAGAAATACAGTTAAGATCTCATTTTGAATTTGATAGCTATCAAATAAATGAGGCTAGAGGCAATAGTTTTAGGGTACCGATTAGGACCTGAGGATTGGAGTCTTACCATGTTCCCTTCTTTGTCTGAGGACTAGACACTGAGGACAACACAGCTGTAGCAGATGGTCATGGCAGTCAGCAGCAGCAGAAGGTGAAGTTATAAGTGGTCTCTTGGCCAATGAGCCTTTGGTGATACTAATTGGGCCAGCTTGGCAGACTGTAAGGAACAGAAACAGCTGGAGTGGGGTTGAGGACTATTAAAACTGGTTCCCCTCCTCCTCCTCCTCCCCAGCCTACTTATGTCACACTGTCTGCTCCCAATTCATCCTTGAGTCTATGCAGAGCAGTACAGTGCTGAGTTGCGGTTCATCCATGGTGCCATATTTAAAAGGTTAGAAACATATTTTGAAAATCCCCATCTTCCCCCCTAGGCTATAGAGCTAACCATTCAATTTGTTAAATTCTGGGATTTAAAGAATCCTGCCTTCTCGAGTACTACTGTAAACGTTGCATTTATAAAAGGATATCTTTATCACCTCGACAACATTTTTAGCTGAAGTGATTTTCCTGATGTGTCTGATTAATTCTGTGGAAAAAATAAATCTTGGATAAAATGGATGCTGCTAAAATTTCAGGCCACTTTCCAGCCACTCTGTGAAGTGACCTTTGGTAATAGTCTTATGTACAATAGCTATAATGGTGAAACAATGTTAAGTAATAAAATTCAACATTTTCCAAATGCTGTTGGCTGCCCCTCCCCCTTTTTGGTAAATTGCTGAGATTTTGGTTTGAATCAGTAAAGAGTATTTTTCAGTTTTGAGCTTTAGAGTTAGTACCTTGGTTCAGGTAAAGTAGATGGTGTCAGTTTGATAAAAGGAAAGCTCTGTAGGTACCAGATTCCTAGGTATAAGGCATTTGGGAAAGTGATTTCTGCAGGCATGAGAACTTTAAGGAAAAGTGGAGAGTATCAGCTATAAAGTGTGTGGAGTTATGACCAGGCTATTCTGAGTTATTTGGGGAATGCTCTTTCCTTTTCCCCTATCGAGTTCATTAATTTCTGGGGGCTTGTTTGTTTTTGTACTACGCCTGGAAATATTTGACACATTGTGAGAAGGGGTTTAAAAATAGGCCAGATTCCTGGAACAGAGTTTGATCCATAGCCCTACTTCTGTCTCTCCTTTCCCTTTTCCATGCAGTTTTCCATCCATTGTAGAAACTGTCCTTTCAGTTACTTCTGATACTTGGAAACTTGAGCCTAACTAGCTCACTACTCCCTCATCACACCAACAGCACACTTAAAAAATCTTTTTGACAGTATTTTAAATACAGCATATAGGCAATGTAGAGTTTACACAAGCAGACACTAATTTATGGAACCAAAAATATCACCTTGTTCACATATATCAGTGTTACCATTGGTTTGCCATTGGAGCACAAGATTGCTACTGTTAGCAGGTTGTCCAGCTGTGAGAAAGGATGAAATTCATCTATGTCGTCTTGTGGCTCATAGGTTTCAAGTGATTTAGCCAGTCTTAGCTAGTTCATGGTAGAGCCTAGACTCAGAAAAACAAAAGTAAAACAAGCAAATAATGCAACAAACAGGCTTGTAACTCTCAGTTCACATCTAAAATTTACTTCATATAAACAAACCCAAATAATTCCTTTTGCAATGATGCAACAAGCTGCTTTGTAAAGCTTGGGATAGCAGAGGTCCTGTTTACAACATGTGGTTAGAAGATCATATATATGTATAATCTACATACATACATACATATATACACATGTATGTGGTAGTAGTGGTTTTTGTTGTGAAGGAATTGCTTCATATCTAGCTTTTTTCTAGATTCTAGTTTATTTTCATATTGAGATTTGATTAACTGGTACTCAGACCACAGGAAGGAAAGCTGCAGCGTACAGTGGCCATTTGTTTCAGGAACATGAGTGTCTGACGTGTGATGTTCCTGGGCAGCCATTTAACAGTGATATTCCAAGTGGGGTCTAGGGGCATAACCACAAAAACTACAGCTGCTAAATGGACAGATAGTCCGGAGACTGGAGAGGGGCAGAGCTGGCTGGGTTGCGGCGGCGTCACTGACCACACAGTACAGCCAGCTTTTCTCCAGCTAAGGAAACAAACAGCACAGTGGTCACTCCCAGTCGGACCTTGTCTGCAGCTGAGAAGGTGGGCAGCTCTGAACTCTCTACCTGCACTCCTGATCCTGTCCGGGCCTCCTCCCTCGCTGCTGACTGTCCCCAAGGGGTGTCAGTGGCTGCAGACCTGGAAGGTTAGGGTGTGAGTGAAGAAGTTAGCTAGCTACGATCACTGATTCTTCACTTTCCTTTTTAGGATCCGTAGCTGGTTATTGCGAAATTCTTCCTAAAGTCTCTGTCTCTGGACTCCATCTGTGTTCTGGAGGTCACCTGTCCAACTGTCAGGGCCCTGCAGGGAACAGGTGGTGGCTTCTACTTTCATAGACTTTTTTAGCCCCTAGAGCCAGGTACTGGATCGCGCGCGCGCGTGTGTGGGGGTGTCCTGCTCGAAGCCCCCCGGGGTGGGGTGGGGTAGGGGAGCCCCATCTCAGCCGCCTGCGCGAGATCTCGGCGGCGCCTTCTCGCCCCGCCCCACGCCTGCAAGCCCCGCCCTTGGCCCAGAATATTTAAAGGAGACCGTGCCGGCGGAGGCGCGCTCGGGAAATAGAGACGCCCCGCCCCGCGACCAGAGGACGCTCTGCTCCAGACCAGCACGAAAACACACAGGCCCAGAGAGCAGCGCCTCTCGTACTGAAATTCCGCTTCGTGGGGGCGGCCTTGATTGAATCCTGACGATGTTTGTCCCTTGCGAGGCACCGTGGGGCGCCCGGGAGGCGTGACCGGGGGCGGGAAGTGGGGCGGGAGCGGCGCTGCGGAGCCGGGGCGGCCGCTGTCATGGACGCCTGGGTCCGCTTCAGCGCCCAGAGCCAGGCCCGCGAGCGGCTGTGCAGGTGCGGCCCGTGGGAGTGGGGGGAGGGCGGGCGCGGGCGGACCCTCGAGAGGCGAGGTCGGGTCGCACTGCGGGGTCAGCAAGGGTCAGCTCGGGCTACGGGGGCCCGCACGGACCGCGGGGCGCTGATTTGAGCCGGCCGTCAGATGCGTTTCTGCTCACCGAAAACATGGGGAAACTGAGGCACGAGTGGGCCAGCGGGAGGCCGCTCAGGGTTGCTGTGCCCACAGACGACCAACCCTTCCCTCGCTGGGCGGTGGTGGGATGACGAGCGTTCGCCCCGGGGGGATAGCGACCCGGACTCTGTCCCCGGGGCTGAGGAGTCGCTCCAAGTTTCCGTGTCCCCTCACCCTGCCGTCACCCTCGGCCCTGTCGTCTGGTCTCAGTTCGGCTCGATGGCCTTGAAATGTCTTAGTTCACGTATCCTGAAGAATTATCTACTCTCCAACTGTCCCCGCCCCCTCACATATCACAGACACGCTCACGCGGATGTGCTTGCGAGGGACCCCGTGCCGCCTTCACTGCCCCGTCATTGTCAAATCTCTTACCTTCGCAACCCTAAGTAGTGCCCCCCGCCCCCTTCCAGGCGCCTTTTTATTCTTACGCCTTTCTCTTCTCCTGGCCCGGAGGAGAAACGGTGAGTTATGGACGTGAAGAGGAGGAAAGGGCATGGTCTCAACCTGGGAAAAGGGGAAGTCCACACCGGCCTGTTGGAGGACATTTTTGGGGGGAGGATAGGGCGATCTACCCCTTACCTTGCCCGTCCTCCCCTCCAGGGCCGCCCAGTATGCCTGCTCCCTTCTTGGCCATGCACTGCAGAAACATGGGGCCAGTCCTGAGCTGCAGAGACAGATCCGACAACTGGAGGGTCATCTGAGCCTAGGAAGAAAGCGTAAGTCACCGTGCCTTCCCTTTTATTACCCCGGCGCGCCCTCCATCCCCGCCTGTTTTCCCTGAGTCCCTCCCCGCTTCCTGTGTTGGACCTTCTCTGCCAGCTCCCCCTCGTTGGGCTCTGCACTTACTCTCTACGTGCCTCCTGATTGACATAAGAGAACAGGAGCAAGGGAGTATGAAGGATTGGAGAAAATGGGGCAAGTTTGAGAAAACTGAACTGGGACTCAAATTAATTAAAATTTGAAGTGAAAAAGAATGAACTGTTTTTGCTCTTTTTAAACATTTTTTGTTATTACTGTTTCTGTCACTTGCTCAACTTTCACCCTTCTGTTTTTTCTCTTTCTCTGCATCTTGCTCTCTTGTTTGCCCTCTACTTCCAAATCCTTGCTTTTTCACGCTAATCCCCACAAGTTCTACGCCTGGGTAACTCAGCAGATGCCCTTGAGTCAGCCAAACGCGCCGTGCACCTATCAGATGTTGTCCTAAGATTCTGCATCACTGTTAGTCACCTCAATCGAGCTTTGTACTTCGCCTGTGACAACGTCCTGTGGGCTGGAAAGTCTGGACTAGCCCCCCGTGTGGATCAGGAGAAGTGGGCCCAGCGTTCATTCAGGTTTGATATCCTTTTTACTCTACAAGACCTTTCGAATTCTGCGTATTGAGTAGCTTGCCTTTTGTGAAAGATCTGTCAGGGTCTTCCCAGAATATACATGTCTTAATCAATCACTTGGCTTCCAATCTTATTCCAATGTAGATCCTAAACTATCAGAGAATAAGGAATGAGGGCAGATGGAAGAAAAATGCTCTTCCATAATGAATGACCAAGATTGGGCAAGAGAAATTATATTGCTTCAATTCTGCTTCTATCTATCCCATAGGACCCTCACTGCCTGATCATGCAGTCATTCTAAAAATATTTAGTAAGCGCTGACTATTCGGCAAAGAGCCAAACAGATATGGTTCCTACTCTCATGAAGCTTCTAGTTTAGTGGAAGAGTCACGTATTAAAATAAATAACCACTAAACCAAGTATTTGTGGAAAAGCACAGGGTGTGATGAGATATATAACAAGAGGAGCTAATTTAGATCGAAAGATCAGGGAAGAACTCTTTGAGAAAATAACACTTGTGTTCACACCTGAAGTCTGAGTAGAAGTTAGACAAAGCAAACAGTAGCAGAGAAGACCTTCCCAAACAGGAAATAGCATATTCTAAGGCCTTGAACCAAGTAAGACTTTGGGGAATTAAAAAAATAGAAGGAAAGCCAGTGTAATGGATGGTATTAAGGAAAGGACATATGTTCAAACTGGAGATGTAGACAGGGGCTAGATCACTCATGTAAAGCCTTTTAGGCAATGGTAAGATGTTTTTTTTTTAGTTTTTAAAAATTTTTATCCTAAGTACAATGGGTTCTGAACAGGGATGTGATGTAATTCAAATTGTGTTTAAAGAAGGTCTCTCTTGCTGCAGTGTGGAAAATGGATGGCAGTCAGGCAAAAGAGGAGGAGATGCCCCAATATGGCCAAGAGATGATGTTGGCTTAGACTAAGGAGCTGGCTGGTAATGAAGGTGGAAAGATATGTGATTTAGGAATAAAATTGTCTGTATACATATTACTTGTATTTGTTTTTTTGTTGTTGTTTGTTTTGCTTTGATTCTCTTTGTTCTTTTAGATTATATTAGCATCTTTCCATCTCCATTCATGCATTGCTCTTCACATCATCTTTCTCAGTGATTTACATGGCTTATAATATATATATAAGGGCTGGAGATGGAGGCCAGAGTAGTATGGAAATGTTACAACCTAGAAGAGTTTATATGCCACGTTTATTCACTTCATTCAGCAAATATTTATCAAGTTCTTACTATGTGCAGGTGCTGGTCTAGACATAGGGACACCGTGGTAAAGATAAACAAGGTACCTGTTCCTTTGGAACTTGCATTGTAATGGGAGGAGACAAAAAATAAAGAATAAATAAGAAAAATATCAGGGAGTGGTAAGCACTAGGTAGGAAATTAAAATAGGGTCATGTGGTAGAGAGTAAATGGCTCGCTACTTTAGAATGGGGGATCGGAGATGGCTTCCCTGAAAGGTGACTTTTAAACTCAGACCCAAAGAACAAGGAAGAGCCAGCCATGTGAAGATTTTGGAGGGAGACTATTCTAGGTAGACGGACTTGGTAGTTTAAAGGTCCTAAAGCAGGAACAAGCTTGATGGGATCAAAATATAGTGATTGAGGGAGAGAATCATATCAGGTGGAGTTAGGCAGGGTCAGATGTTGAGTTCTATAAGCCTGTTTAAGGTCTCTAGATTTTATTCTAAATGTGACAGGAAGGAAGCCATGGAGAGTTTTAAGAAAGAGAGTAATTTGTGATTTATGTTTATGCCGGCTACTATATAAAATTAGATTGTCGGGGGCAGGGAGCAAGAGTGGCCATGAAGGGTCCAGTTAAAAGACGAAAGTGGTAATTCAAGCAAGAGACGATGACGGCTTAGACTGTGGTGGCGGAGTGTAATAGAGAGACGTTCTTGGATTTGGGATGCGTCTGGAGATAAGACAGTTATATTGAGTGCGGACCACTGTTGTCAGAGTGGATTAAAAATAAAAAAGCATAGGCTGTTGTTAAGGAATTTATCATCTCACGCATTGGCAAGCGCTTAACAAAAGTTTTCGATTTAAATGACCTGTAAGGTGTCTGACTCTGAAACAACCGATGCTTGTTCTTTCAAAATGAATTTGTATTACTGTAATTGAAGTTGAATGTATGTATGCTAATGAGTTGTTGAGTGGAAAAGTGAAATTTGAGATTGATCTTGGAAGATTAGATGATGCTTTTGAATTTTGAGCCAGGATCTTAAGGTACACATATTAGCAAACAGAAAGGTGGGAGGACATTTCTAATAATGAGTATTAGCATTCGCTTCTGGTGTTCTAATGGGTAATCCCTTTGCATTACAGGGAAAACAGTGTTTTAGTACTTTGTTGGATGCTAAGTGGGTATATGCACCGTCGCTGACCCTCCTGTCCTCTGTATCTCAGGTATTATCTGTTTTCCCTCATTATGAATTTGAGCCGTGATGCTTATGAGATTCGCCTACTGATGGAACAAGAGTCTTCAGCTTGTAGCCGGCGACAGAAGGGTTCTGGAGGAGGAGTCCCAGGAGGAATGGAAACTGGGGGACCTGGGGGTCCAGGGACTCCAGCAGGAGGCCTGCCTCAACTGGCTCTGAAGCTTCAGCTCCGAGTCCTGCTCCTGGCTCGGGTCCTTCGAGGCCACCCCCCTCTTCTGCTGGATGTGGTCAGAAACGCCTGTGATCTCTTCATTCCACTGGACAAACTAGGCCTCTGGCGCTGTGGCCCTGGGATCGTGGGACTTTGTGGCCTTGTGTCCTCTATCCTGTCTATTCTCACCCTGATCTGCCCTTGGCTACGACTCAAGCCCTGATATTCTGGTACAGGATGAGGAGGGGGACCTGAATTGGTAAGATGGAACCTTAGATTGTCCCCAACATACCAGCCTCGTTCTAACTCTACTCCTTGGTTAAAGTAAAATCTAGAGATTTAGGGGTAGAAGGAGGAGCTTCAGAGAAAACGAGGTGAGGAAAGGTGACCACTTTAGTCAGTGGGATGATTCTAATGTTCAGATCTTCTGGAGCTTTTGTTCTTTTCCTCCTTCATTGCATTGTCTGTGTCTCTCTCGACGTTTACGTTATCTCTCATAACTCTAAGATTCTGCATCTTTTTTTTTTTAATCTTCTCAGTCCCCTATCCTAGGAACTTAGTCAGCAGCAGAATTACTTTTTTCGGCAGGGCAGGTGGACGGTGTGGTCTATAAAGTTCTGACTGCCTTCCTTTTCTTCACTAGGGTGGCTCATGGGAGATTTTGTCTCCTTCAAACTCCAAGTCATAATTCAAAGACTTTTGTAACACAAAGACTTTATGTCCCTGTGGACTCTTCCTTCCTGCACCAGAAATAGTTTGAGCCTCCTCTTCCTCCCTCATGACTCAGGCCCTTACCTTTCCTTCTACTCACACCTGCAGATTTGTGCTTACACTGATTTCAGGGCTCTGTTCCCAGCCTGTTCGTACCACTTCTTTGCCTATCCAGAATGATGCTATGTCTAGCATCTTGCTGTAAATATTGTACAGTGATTCTGTGTAAATACCTGGGATCCATTCCCACGATGGAGAGCGAGCCTTCTAGGTCAGCAAATTAAAGATCAGTTTGCTTATTGATGTTTGGTCTGGTCCTGTGTGTTCTGGTCATTTGAGGCCCTTATTCCTATCTCTAGTTTGAGTTTTCCATGGAATTAGCCACTGGCATCATCACCCACAGACTTTTATTGAGCACCTAAACTATGCAGAGCATAATACTAGGTGGTAGAGATACAAAAAGCCCAGAAACTCCATGGACCTAACTTCAGAAGTTTATAGTCTAGTTGAGAAGATGGGGGTCTAAGGGTAAAGTAATTATGCTGGGTCCACAAAGCACATCCATACCGATTCGGTTTCTAGCCCCTCCAAAAACCAATGCCGCGAGGCAGCATAGGCTGAGTCACAAACGACTAAGTGGAGTGGGCCTGTTAAGGCTTAGTCTGTGGGCTGGCTGTGTCTTCGCGTGTCAGCGCTGCCCTGGGTGGGTGGGCAAAAGATACCACTGTTATCAGCTCTTTCATTTTCCATATCTCAGGTTGATATAAATAAGGTGAGGAAGAGAAAAGTATCTATCCCCCACTCCTACCTTCCATTCCAAACCCAAAGAAAGCATTGTTACCTGGCGACAGCAAAGGAGAGAAAGAAAGGAAGAGAAACAGCTGAAACAGTCAACTGTGTTCCTTTGGATATTGAGATGATGCCTCCAGGGGGCAGCACCAAGGTAGAGAACTCGACTACGATCCCTCCGTCCTCCTTTCCTCAGTCTGGGGCTCCCCACAGTTCCCCACCATTACTCCTCCCATTCCTTCCAACTTTATTTTTAGCTGCCAGTGGGAGGGGGCAGGATGGGAGGGAAAGCAAAGAAAACAGAAAAGGAGAGCGACAGAGTCACAGAGACTTCTCACAGGGACAGCGAACCACCAGGCATGGAGCTCCCCCTCATCCCTCACCTGTGCTGGCCCCTGATGTTCCTGACAGGTGAGGGAGGTTAATTTCTTGGTTTCTGATGGGAATGCAAGATGTATAGATTGGCATTGAGACCTTGAAGGTTTAATTGGGAACTTTAAAGTTCTTCGGGAGTTGGGGTGAGAGGTTAACACTGATTCTACATTTGTAGGGTGTCTGTGGTGTGTGTGCGTGTGCGCGCGTGTGTGTGCGTGTGCGTGCGGCCGCGCACGCATGTGTATGTTTGCAGTCTTATGCCCACACCGTGTGACTGCTTCAGCACTGAGACTGGCAGGGTCTCGTGTAAGATTTGTGTCCAATTATCTAAAACCTTTGTCCTAAGCCCTAGAGAAGGGAGGGGACCAAAAAGAAACATGTTCACGTAGCTAGTCTGATTCCTGTTACCGCCTCCCTACTTCTCCCTACCCTTGGTGGCCTCTGGGGCCTGAGGCATAACTGACTGTGTGGTCAGAACTCAGGGTTTAACCAACGAGCTACAGTTCCTGGTCATACAGCCCTGCCAGTCTCTTGGATGCAAAAAGGCTCACATACAAAACACCTTTCTGAAAACAAGCTCGGTTTGAGACAGAGCTGTAGCCATTGGAGGTAGTTGTGGTGGGCCTGAGCGAGGGTTGCTTAGAAGGAAGGAGCAAGACACGGTCAGGGAAAGAACCATGGGAGGGACCAGAGGTCTGGAATTTTTCCTCGCCAGTGCCCTGTAATCTTCGTTTCCTAAAATACCAGCTCTGATTTTAAAGGGATCGGGGTTGGGAGGGAAGGACCAGCCAGGACATGACCAGTGGGGTCTTTAGAGTGGGCCAAGAGTTAAGGAAGAAATGCAGGTAGTGAGGGGGCCACTGAGAGTGTGGATGAGTTGGAAAGGAAGCTGGTTCTGGGAAACTGGAGTGAAGGGACCTTTGGTGAGGATGGATGGCAAACCACGTGTGCAGGCGGGCAAATGGCCCCACCCAGTTAATTACCACTGAGTTTCCAGGCCTGGAATCAACCAGAGACCTAGACGTAGGAGAATGAGAGTGAGCGTGTAACAATGCCACCGGGAGTCAAGAGGAGATGGAGGAGGAGAGACCCGGGCACGCAGTGCTCCCTAGTCTTTTGTTCTCCCTGTGCTCCTGGGTGTGGGGAGAATTTGGAAGGGACGGTCGTTCTAGGGCTGTGGAAAGGCTCTCTCCCTCTTCTGACCCTCACAGCTTTAAGGAGGAGGATGCGTAGGAGGAATGATGTGAAAAAGAGGAACTTGACGTTTCCAGACATGTCTGTAAATGAGATTTCAGGGGTGGGAATGGAAATACAGCTGTGCACAGGCATGGCAGAGGGCCACAGGTTAGACAGGACCCAAACAGGAAGGAGATCATCCTCGCTTGGAGCTCTGAGTGCATGACATTGACGGAGGCCAGGACACCTAATGAGTAATAAGCAGGGAGACAGACTTATATCAAAACATTTCCTTCATGGCTTCTCTCTGGCTGTGCCTCTGGGTATTCACCAGCCTCTGATTGCTTCCTGCTAACCCATGATCTTGACCCCCAGGTCTCTGCTCCCCCTTTAACCTGGATGTGCATCACCCACGCCTCTTCCCAGGGCCACCCGAGACTGAATTTGGATACAGTGTCTTACAACATGTTGGGGGTGGACGGCGATGGTGAGGAGGAAGCCGGAGGGCAGTGGGGTTGGGACTGTGACAGAGCCATTAAAAGGGGAGGGGAGGTAGATGGGAATCGAAACTAACCCGGTCTTTTAGACATGGCTGGGGCTCTTGATTTGCTACCTCCGTGCACTTTCTCATAGGCCATGTTCACACTGTGTGTGTATTCATGTCCTCCTCCCAGGATGCTGGTGGGTGCCCCCTGGGACGGGCCGTCAGGTGACAGAAGGGGAGATGTTTACCGCTGCCCTGTAGGGGGCTCCCACAATGCCCCATGTGCTAAGGGCCACTTGGGTAAGAAGATGCCTCACGCTTGCACTCCTAACCCCTAACCTTGATGTGCTAGTAGCTCTGACCCCTCCCAATACCTCACTTTCTTTACCCCCATATCCCACACGCTCCCCGTCTTTGACTTGATCCAGATCTCATCCTCTTCCAAAACCACGCTGAACTCAAGCACCCCATCTGTGACCCCTCGATCTCGTTCTTTTCCACTCCCCTCCAACCAGGTGACTATCCATTGGGAAATTCATCTCGTCCTGCTGTGAACATGCACTTGGGGATGTCTCTACTAGAGACAGATGGTGATGGGGGATTCATGGTGAGCAGCGGAAAGGGTGGTGGCTGGGTCTCTGAGGGTTCATGGCAGAGAAAAGAGCCATATGTAAGGGAAACTGGTCTGTGTGGAGGGGGCACGGAGTTCAAAACCCTAGAAAGCGAGGAGGGGAATCTCGGGGAGGGGCCTCAATGCCTCCTTCTACTGGGAGCATGTTCTGTGGGCGCCCTTCCGAGCCTGCGAGCAACGTGATTCCCCCATTCCCAGGCCTGTGCCCCTCTCTGGTCTCGTGCCTGTGGCTCCTCGGTCTTCAGTTCTGGGATTTGTACCCGTGTAGATGCTTCATTCCGGCCTCAGGGAAGCCTGGCGCCCACTGCACAACGTGAGCCGGAAGAAGGACCTGAGGACTCAGTCCTCCAAACGGGGTGCAGGGTGGGGAAAATGGGGCAGCAGTGCATGATGCTTGACAGGGGGCCCGCATGGCTAGCCTCGTCGCTACCTAATGCACCTGCGTAAGCTTCATGGTTCCTAACAGATTAGAATTCAGACTCTGCCACGGCACCGAGACTCCATGAATAGATCAAACGAACTTCAAAAACTCAACTCTGACTACATCCCTCCACATCCCTGGCCATGACATCTACCTTCCCATTCTCCGACGTGTCATCTGTCTTCATACCTCCATTTCGTTTTGTTTAAAGAGTTCTCCACCAAATGCCTTTCCTTACATTCTCCTCTCCACAAACACCTTCAGGTCTCAGTATCTTCTCAGCAGCTGCCTCCTTCGAGTCCCACCATCAGAACTGACTCTCTTTTGCTGTCTCCCAGCATACAGTGGTGCTGTTTGTACCTAGCACTTAATTCCTTCTTTGTTTTTTTAGTAAATTGCATGAATGATCATCTCCTCTTTTCTTCATTTCCACATTTGCCCAGGGCCTGGCACACCATCATCCTTGCATGTCGGAAGTGCCTAATAGACGTTTAAGTCGAATTTGTTCTCCTGTGACCTCTTCCCTTATTGTCCCCATGCCCAATACCCTTCTACCCCTCTGTTCTCCGTTACCGCACCCCTCCTCCAAGGCTGCCCCACATACATGGACGTCGTCATTGTCTTGGATGGCTCCAACAGCATCTACCCCTGGTCTGAAGTTCAGACTTTCCTACGAAGACTGGTAGGGAGACTGTTTATTGACCCGGAGCAGATACAGGTAAGAGAAGGCGATCCCGGTGGGCTTGGAGGGGGAGAGACAGGGAGAGAGGAGATAAATGTCCGTAGTGTCTTCAGCAGTAGCCAGGTGCCCATCTGCTGTCGTTCACGTACTTTTTTCTCCCTCCCCGGCCCCATACCCACCCTCCGCCTGACTGCACGCTTTGTGCTCAGGTGGGACTGGTACAGTATGGCGAGAGCCCCGTACACGAGTGGTCCTTGGGAGATTTCCGAACCAAGGAAGAAGTGGTGAGAGCAGCAAGGAACCTGAGTCGGCGGGAGGGACGAGAAACAAAGACTGCGCAAGCGATAATGGTGGCCTGGTGAGGCATCGGGAAGCGAAGGGCCTGGCGTGCGGGAGGCCAGAGCCGCGAGGGCCTAGAGCGGCAGTGGGGGCGGGGTTGAGAGTGTGATGTGCACATCCCAAGATGCCATGCGTGCTTATTTTTGCGTGTACACTGATGGCCGGTGGGAGAAGCCTAAGCGGTCCTTGCACTCCCTCTGTCACGTTTCTGCAGTGTCTATCTATGTCCGTGTCTCTCCACGTTTCTGCTTTATCGAAGTCTGCAGACAGAACTCTCTCTATCCTTCCACCCCCACTTTGATCTTGGCCCTCAAGCTCTCCGCCACTCACGTCCTCGCCCACTGTCCAAACGCGATTCAAACTCGTTCTGGCAAGGCCCGCGCGACCTACCCATTCTCCTTTGTTC